CGACTCTACAGGTGAGTGGTCCAGGCGAACTTTCCAGACCTACCGCTAACTTCATAAGGCGATTCATACCCTACGTTCGTGAAACTCAGTTTTATAGGGATACTTTTCATCTTCTTATATGCCAATGTAGCTATTCAAAATAAAACTGAAGAACCCATAATACCTCTGCTACCATTTGAATGGATTTCTCATACTTATCAAGTACCTTATTAGCACTAATGGCGTACAATAGCTGCACTGGCATAGGGAATAAGGATGTCATCACAGAAGTGTATGAATGCCATCATGACACTAGCTAATAGATAAGCTTCGGCGAGTAACCACAAACACCTGAGAGATTTCTCCTTATAATGCATTTAGCAACATTGAACTGAATGAACCGATTTCATATGTGCGAGCCAATGGTCAACCCGATTATAATTCCCCCCTGTTAAGAGAAAGTGCGCACAGTGAGTCCGGGAACCCTCGTTACCTGAGCAAATGCCCGAAGGCACTACTCAGGCCAACTTACGCGCATTCCCTATCCCCGGTCAAATCGGCGCCTTTCCCGGGCCGGGAACGCCCATAATATGTTCCGTAGAATAAATGCTAGCGATACTCGGGTAAATATCGCTAGCATATTTTAAGTTCTTTCTCCCCGATTCGCCGAGACTGCCGGTAGGCGGGGAACGCCTGTCGCATTTACTTAAACCTAGCCCCTCTTGTTGGCAGCTCGACGGGTTGGGATCACCCATGCAACCAAAATATGCTTTTTAAAAATGACCATTAACTGCACATATGATATAGCATTCAACTCAGTTCAGCTGTCACTAAACAGCACTACAAAGAAGACGTTCTTCGAGTCGCCACCTAGCGACTCGACTCTTCGGGTGAGTGGTCCAGGCGAACTTTCCAGACCTACCGCCAACTTCATAAGGCGATTCATACCCTACGTTCGTGTAACTCATTTTTACGGGGATAATTTTCTTTTTTCATTTGCCAGTGCAGCTATTATCAACCCCAGTCACAACTCCTCCCGCAACAAACTATATATTCTCTGATGTGATATCTCTACATCGAAGGAGTGATCAATTCCGAGAGCCTTTTTCTCAGCCATGACAAGACTAGGATACTGCGTCAGGTTGTCCATAGATAACTAAGTATTCCTCTAAATCACATGCTAATATGGTCCACAGTAACGTTGAACTAACATTTAACTAAGCAAAGTCAAAGCCCGCCATTCGCTACACCAACTTATGTCAGCGTGTGCTAAATGTCCAGTCAAGTCGTTTCAAAGTTTTGGTTCAGTGAGCTTATGATACAGTTGCAGTCAAGCTAAGTCAAGTTCAATCAAATTAAGTTTAACTGCAACAGCTACCTCACTACATATCAGCAAGTGTGCTAGTCTCGTATCTATGCTAGAGTCCAACACGAGTGCACGTAATAGAGTCCACATTGGAGAGGGCGGGGGGGGGATGGTGGGGTACACAAACTGAAAAAATGTTCAATCAGGTGGG